GCCCCGGCGGGAGGAACCGAGGGGAGCCCCCCGAGCTGCTGATGTGCCGGGAAGCAGGAAAATTCTAAAATTCTCCCCTAATTCCCGTCCCCACTGTGAAAGTAATTGTGCACGGTGACGCGTTCCCAGAGATGGCGCTGGGATTAGGGGAAAACCTCTTCGCTCGCTGCTTTGATTCCGGAGAGGAGATAATCGGATTACTCGCAAAGTCCCTCTGATGCGCAGCCTACACGCGAAGTACAATGCCGCATTGTTTTGTCTCCCCGCGGATTCCCACACCCTGCCAGAGACACACCTGGAGATGTTCTGCCTCTGTAGCGTGGACTTTTAGTTATTTCCCCCCTGTTTTCAGTGTGTACTCACCGCAGAGATTAAAGAGGGCCTTTACCCCAAGGGGCTGCAGGAAGGGCATCCTGAAAGTGTTCAGAAATGGGGGGAAAATTCCCCTTCTGGGAATCCTGGAGTCAAATATCAAATGTGAGGAATGGGGTGGAGGAATCGGGAGGGTGTGGAACTGTCCCCAGGTGGGGTCACCCACAGGCAGGTGGAGACCCTGTTTGACACATCCTGCCCACGGCACAACTCCAGCTTGTTCTGCACAAAGCACGGCCCTGGCAGGTGATGATGGCAGCCAAACGAATGTGGAATAGCTTGTGATAAAGGGAGTTCTCCTGGGAAGTGGAGAAAGCAGCGATAAATATCTTGGAACTGCTGGATCACAGGAAGAGTGAAGATGTGTTTGTTGGAGCACTTGGGGACTGTCCTCCAATGCATCAAATGCTTCATCTGGGGGCCTGATGAAAGCCTAAGATTTCAGTTAAGTTTGTTTTCCTTTTACTTTTCAGTATTTTCTTCTCCAAGGAGGGACATTTGCCTGCCCCAAGGAGTCACAATAAATTTGGTGCTATTTTGGGACCTTTGTTGTAAATGCGGTGATTTCGGGTCCCCTCTCAGCTGATCCTGGTTAGAACCTCATGGCTCCATTTCCTCCTTATCTCTGGCTCTTTCTGCTGCCAGCAACCTTCCTGCTCAGCCCCTTTTCCAGTGTCTGCTTCCCAAGCATCCACAGCCACAGCCAGGCCTCAAACTTCTCAATCTTCCCCTGGAGCAGCATGCATCCTGCGCAGGGCCTGACTGCATGCCAGGGCTTCCCTCCTCCTCCTCCTCCTCTGCCCAGGATGCTCTGAGCTCCATCCTCCTCGTGCTGAGCTCCACACACGCAGTTTGCTTCCAGCAGCTTGGTGACAGGAGCTGGCAGCGTGCTGGGGCTGTCACTGCCTCAAAAACGGGATTTTCACCCAAAACCTCGCTGGCAAACGGCACAGGAGGCACGGCCCAGCCCAGCTGGGGACCCTGGCAGGGAGGAGAGCAGGAGGGAGCTGTAATTAAAGATGGAAAAGCCATCCTTGCCATGCAGCATGAAATAGGAGCGAGGCTGAGGGGCTGGCTGCCGGCGATCCGGCCGTGGCAGCATGAAAAATGAGGAGGAGCGCGATAAGAAACTAATAATTTATGTTCCAAGCACAGCCTCGCACCAGCGCGGAGGGAAATTCATGCCAATAACTCCTACTAACTCAGA